TAAAGTCTACTTAAATGCCCATTTTAGTACAAAGACACATAGAGATTATCAAGCAATAATTACTCATTCTGTATTCTCACCACTAATTTTCATTAAAACCTATATACAATAAAATGCATTGATTTTATCCTAAATTTAATTTAGATGATTTTGGCCTGTTGTTTTAGTCTTCTAGATCTACTTCCCTGGGTTGGAGTTGGGAATCTTGATCCAGGTACTTTTATTTCAGTCTTGTTTTAACCACCAATTCTATATACTTTTTAAAAAAAATTGCAATGTAGTTGATTAACAATATTGTGTTAGTTTCAGCTATACAGCAAAGTGATTCAGTTATATATATATATATGCATATATTTTTTTTCAGATTATTTTTCATTATAGGTTATTACAAGATATTGAATATAGGTCCCTGTGCTATATAGTAAATCCTTGCTGCTCATCTATTTTATGTATAGTAGTTTGTATCTGTTACTCCCATACTCCTAATTTATCCCTCTCCTCCTCCCTTTCTCCTTTGGTAACCATAAGTTTGTTTTCTATGTCTCTATATACTTTTTATTCTCCATTTTTCTGTAGGATTATTTGTATTGTTATTTATGTATAGGAACTATTCATATATTTAGTACCCAAATTTTTATTGATTATCAATGCTCCAAATATTTATCTTTCTGTTGGTTGACTTTTCACTTTCTTTATGGTTTCATTTGATGGGCAGAAGTTCATTATTCAAATATTAATTCAGTCAAATTAATTAACTCTGTTTCTTTATGGTTTTTGTTTTTTGCATCTTAAAAAATATATCTTTTTTTTTTTTTTTTTTACCCTGGTGTCATAAATATGTTTTCCTGTAACTTGTTCAAAGAATTTTAGAATTGTGCTTTCCACCTTTAAGTCTTCAATCTACCTGGAGTTGGTTTGTGTAGGATGTGAGGTAGGGATCCAGTTGTGCCAACATCAGGGGTCTTATTAAAAGTATCTTTTTTTCTACTGCAATATTATCTCTGTCTTATATCAACTTAACATATGTGAATAGATTTGTTTGGGGGCTCTGCATTCTGCTTTAGTCATCTTTTTAGCTATTCTTATGCTAATAGCACCCTGTCTTAATTTCCTTCTTCCTGAAGTAGATATTTTTAATTATTCCTTTCAGTGAGCATCTATGAATGGTAAGTTCTGTCTTCATTTGAAAATATCTTTACTTTATCTTCTCTGTTGAATTTTCAGTTTGAAGTATTATGGAATTTTAATTTGATATGTATTTTATATTGATTGGATTTCCCCCAATATTTAGTTTATCATACTACTGAATGAGTATACTTCCTCTATGAATTTTTTCTTTCTTTATCTTTCTTACTTCTGAGTCTCTTTCCATGCTAATTTATTATTTAACAGTGCTTTGCTCTTCACTAAGGAATCTGCTGTTTGTTAGAAGGCAAACCAACCTGGATAAATTCAGAGTTTCCACATTCTTTTGCTATAGTCTTATTTCTTTCCTCTACATTCATTGTTTTCCTTTCCTGCCTGGAAACTGGATGCCTGTGGTAGACTGGAGATCTATATCATACCCTCATTCACTTACTATGAATATAGTCAAGAGTGGTATGAGGTTTTAGCAAATAGAACATTTCAGCCATGAGAGAAAAATTATTTGCATAAGGAAATAAACACAGTGAACCAGAAATTGGTACAAGCAATACCAGTATGAGAAATAGTCGCAAAACCTAATGTGACTCACAGAGGTAAACAAAAGCTGACAAAGGCATTTTGTATAAGCCAATCTGTCTTTCATTCCCACACAGGAATTATAGGTCTGAAATATGGAGATCTTAGAACACTTACTAATCCTTCTCGAAACATAAGTAATTAGCGTCCATTTTATAGTGAAAGAAAATTAGTTTTATAAAAAGTGGAGAAACTTGCCAATATCTTGCAAATAAAGAATACTGAGTAGCTGGAGTCAGTGATTGCCAGTCTCTCTCCTAGGACCATACATCCTAACCTTTTCAGCATATGAGAGGTTATCAAAATACTACTAAGATGTTGAAGTTAAGAACCTGCCTCCCGTTAGATGTATTGACAAATCAAGTAACAAAGGAGGTTCCCTGAGTTTTCTTCTTCTGTTGCTTAGTTTTTCCTACAACAAGAGAAAATTCTGAAGGGATGATGAGTGAGTTCCAATAGCATATTTAATTTGAGTTTCTTTTCTTTTCAACTTTTAAATGCATACAGTACAAAAAAGTCTCCTGGATATATGGTGAAATTTCACAGTAAGAGGCAATGCTACATTGACTATAACCCCAAACGAGCCAGACAGACAGAAAGTGTTTTTAGGACCTATAACTTATCAGCTTTCTTCCAAAGACTATACTGATAATAGCTCGCATTTACTGAACATGGACTGTGTGCCAGGCACTGAGGTGTTTTACATGGAGTATATTTAGTTCTCACAGCTAATATATGAGGTATATACTATTATCATTACCATCATATTACAGAAGAGGAAAGTGAGGCTCAGAAAGGCTAAGAATTTGTCAAGTTTGCCAAGTATGTAAGTGGTGGGAATGAGTTTCTAACTTAGTCAAATATGTTTAACTGTAGTTAAGAGCCTTCCTCTTAACACCATGAAATAGTCTTACTTGAAGTTTCCCTGTTCTGTTTAATATCATCTACTTTATCTCCATCCTCATCAGAATTGAGTAAAAATGAAGCAAGATGGTATTTGTGTTAGATGAGATTCCATATTGCTAGCACAGAAAGCCCAACTCAAGCTGGCATTAATAACAGATTTAGATAATGTGCCCACTTCCAAGTGAAAACTGGAGCTGGGGGAACACCATGTATTCATTGGCCCAGGACAGGATGGTGTACCCATCCATGAACCACACACTGTGGCAAGGGGAAAATGGATAACTTGGATTGCAATTTAGGTAATTCCTGAAGCCAGGGATGGGAACAATCCCACCGAAATTGAGTGGCTGCCCCTTGAGGTAGGGAGAGGGGAAATGGAAATATAGAAGCACAGGAAAATGAAAAAAGTAAGTCAGAATCAATCAGATGGAATCCTTACTTTCTTTCCCACTAAAAGATTAATACATAAATTAAACTAAAAGAAAGATCATGGTTAGATTCCAAATCTTAAAAAAATTCCACTGATGACGTGTGAATTAGCTCTCCATTAGCTGCATTGTAACAAATTCCAAAATTTAGCTGCTTCGAAGAAGCATTTATTTCTGAGTCAGTAACCTGAGTGTGGCTTAGCTGGCTCAGCATCTTTTATCAGGTTGCTGGGGAAAGATCTTCCAAGCTCACTCATGGTTGTTGGTAGAATTTAGCTTTACCTGGGCTGTTGCACTGAGGCAGTTCCTTGCCATGTAGGCCTCTCCTTAGGGTAGCTCACAACAGGCAGCTGGCTGCCCTGGGAGCAAGCAAGCAAGAAAGCAAAAGAAAATGCCCAAGACAGTCTTTTTATAACCTAATCTTGGAAGTGACATTCTATCACTTCTGCCATATTTTATTCTTTAGAAGTGAGTCAGTAAGTCTAGCCCTTTCTCAGGAAAGAGGACACAGAGGTGTGAATATCATGCAGAAGTTGGGGATCTATGGGGCCATCTTAGAAGCTGCCTACCATAAAGTGTGCATTTGTGTGTATGTGGGTGTGTACATGTGTTTTCAGGGACACTGGGTAGTCAGTGGTTGCACATGGTATGGGGCCAAAAGAGTATGAGTTCTTACGGATTTTCCTGTTAAGAGTATTGGAGGGTTAAAATGGTAGTTGTTATCCCTACAGGAAACGTATGCCATTCACAAATTGAGAATTTGAGCCAGCTTAATAAAGGGGCTATTTACAAAGGTGTGGTAAGTTAAGTATAGAGAAATTATAAGGAATAGTATGTTATTCCAGGGTTTGTGACAGCTTGGTGTATCACTCCCCCGAGGCCTGAAGCAGCATGAGGAGGGAGCAGATATCAGAACTAGGAGAGGATATTTGTATGAGAAGACCCCTGGACAGGAGCTATAACTTTTCACCATAGGAAGCAGTCAGCCTATGGCATCTCTGCAGGGAAGGTGCCAGGGGAATAAGTACATTGAATCACTCTCCCCCAGCCTCCTGCTGGCACCACCCATTGGCAGAACTCAACCAGAAGCCAGAAGGCAAGGAAGTTCACTGATGTTGTCAATATAGTCCAGTCTCCAGTTGCACACAGTAATGTGGAAAGAGGGCAGAGCAGACCTGGAGGGACAGTCAGAAGATACCCAGTACAGAAATCAAATGAGTACTTATGAGGAAAATCATATCCATTATAGGCAGAGAGGAAGAAACAGGCTTACACTACTAGGTATTGTTTAGAGCAAGCTAGATGGAAGAGTTTGGTGACAGAGAAGGGTATTTAACATCAGAACAGGCTTTCATATAATTGTGTCTCTTGAAGATCCTTAAAAATGGGAAACACACATCCATCTCTATGAAATGATTTGGGCAAAACTGTACTGATGAAAGAAGTATGGGTAGCTAAGATGACTTTGAAGGGTCCTTGTAACTTGAGGATATGGCATTCCAGGAGGAGTGATGGAAATCAGGGAACTGGATCTCGTGCAAAATATTCACAACTCTTTGAAATGGAAATTAGGCTATTCCAATTTAGGAATCAAATTAAAGCAAGTATTCAGGGTGTTAGCCAGCTGTGCTCCTGCCTGTTTGAAGTGGCAGCTAAAGGAGGGAGGCGTGCTTTTTCCGGGATGAAGCAGGATCTCACTCAGCCTGTTTTCATCTTTAGTTAGCACCTGTTGGCTTAGAGTGGTGTCAGCCAAGCAATCAGATGGTAGATGTGCCTGACCTTCCCGTGTCTGCCGCCCCTCCCCCCAAACCCCGTGACACCTCTCCTGATACAGATCACAGGAGCTGGTTTAAAATGAGTTTCAAGTTCGTGTAGGAAGAGAAAGTTAATTCAAAGAAACAGCCAGGCAAGCTTCTGTAGGAATAACTATTATCCCCTTTCACCATGGCCTACCTGGGAGCCCACTTTGCCTTCAGATCCCCCAGGCAGAAGACCAATGATGAGCTCTGTCAGCATAGCATGTCCTTTATTCTTCAGAAAGCTATTTGCAATGACTTCTTTCAGAGCTATCTCTACCTGCTGGAAAATATTCCCCTGGGTAAGTGAGTCAGAGCTACTAGATAAGGGACAAGAAATGACTGGAGCAACTGTGTGAGACTGTGGGGCTTTTGCAAAAGGAATTAGAACAAGGACACTTTCCAGATAAAAAGGACACACAACCAATGTCAGTGGGCTTAAATGTTTCAATGGCATTCTTTTATGGAAAGTGCAAAGATCAAGTATTGCCTGGCAGGACAAGCCTCTATTTGGGGACTTCCATGCACCTCAGACATGGGTAACTTGCTTCTCTGGGTGTTGTTTGCCTGAGTGTCAGGATTATAGAAATTAATTTCTTGAGTTTGGAGGGACATTTTTAATATTTGCAAAAATTTAGAGGTGGGCAAATTAGGTAACTCAAAGATGAGAATATTAATACAGAAGCATATCAACAAAGAATTTTTTAAAAAGGCTAAACAATAATAGATCAAGGTTGTTGGTGTGTGTGGCTGTGTGTGAGTGTGTGTGTGTGTGTGTGTGTGTGTGTGTGTGTATGCATGAGTACACACTCCACATAATCCTTTCTGGCCTTTCTAAATTGCAATAATAGTCCAAGAGCTTAAAAGGAGCAGATTTTAGTTTGGTCTTTGAATATTAAGAAAAAAACTGGGCTGTAGTCTGTCTCCATTTTAGTTATTTCCTCTAGTTTCAGGGAATTGGACAATAGGGCAATAAAAAGCTTATCTGGTTTGTCTACACCACTTTTCTCAGCCTCTGTGAAAATGGTTACTTCAGGGCACTCTTAACAACACTAAAGAGGAAATAACTTGCGATTAAGGAGTAAAGTATCTCCCTTTGATTCATATTTTCCCCCCATGAAAGCAGGAACAGTGTGTATCAACTCCAGTCTGCTTTGTTAAGGTTGCTGAAAGCCCTATTGTACACTTGATGTGGCCAGGGTTTCCAGACGTGAAAGGAGCTACATAATTCTTTGTATTGCATTCAAAACTATGTTAGCAGCTTCCCAAAGTCTCTTTCTATAAGTCCATTTCTGAAGGGAATCTTTAACTCTAGACATACAAATACTTTCATCTTATATATATTTCTTATAAAAATTTCGCATTCATGACTCTATTTGATCCTCACAGCCATGCTATGCGATAGATAGGGTATTATTATTTTTCCACCCACCTTCTCACTCTTGCCCCCTATCTTATTTTTTCAAGTGAGGAAAAGAAAATTCAGAGATGATGAGATCTAATCTAGATAGGTCTCATCTAGATACCAAAGCAAGAACCCAAGACCAGGGCTCTTTCTGGTAGATAGCACTACACATGAGTAATTCTTTTAGGACATAGTGTACATCTCATTTGTATTCAAATGGAAAAATTAGAGCAGTCTATATGGAAGGTGATGATGTTCTGACCACTCCACATATTGTCAGAGCATTGCTTTTCTGGAGACACTCTTTGGGCCACACCTCAGTAACAGTAGCTTATTGGCTCAGTTGCATTAGTCTGGAGAAAGATATTAATTACAATAACTTATGAGAGGTTCACTAAGGGGCAGATGACTGCCAAATTTTAAAAATAATTATTAGAAAAGAAACTCATCTCTGAAAGTAGCTAAAGATGAATTAAAAGACCCCAATAAATATTTATTAGACAAATTAAGGGCCCCTTACTAATAATTAATTGCAGGTTACCAATGTCCTGAGTTCAAATTCTGGCACTGCTAGTGGTAGAAAAAATCACCTCTGCAAGTTACTAAAGTCTCTGAGCATCATTTTCCTCAAAACTGTGGGGCTGCTGGAGGATTAAATGCAATTATATATGTGAAACTAGTCAACGCTCAGTAAGCATTAGCTTTTTATCTCCTTCCTTAGAGTCAGATCTCTTTTAAAGTCATCACGTAGCCTTCCTTAGAACAGGCATTACCGAAGATGATAAGCTTAATTTGCTATATGGGAGTTTTCAGGCTGCAGTGGATATTAGTCTTTTCAGTTTGGAAATAAAACTCAGCCCCACTGAAGTGTTTTAGAGTTGGCTTCCCCTCCTCCTGATGATTTCAAGACTTCATAGAAATGAAAATAAAGCCCTTCTTTTAAAAGGATGGGGAACCCTACTGTAGAGTCTGCACAGAGAGTTTGTTGTTTGGGGGTAGTTACGGGAAGAACAGTGGCTAACCGGACTCTTTGATTCCTTCTTTCCTTCCTTCCTCCCTCCAACTGCCTGTGTTAGGCAGCTAGGCTCACACCAGCACACCGTGCAGTGACATTCAGTCATGGGGACGTTTGCTGAAATATCCCTGACTAGCCTCAGTGACTCATGGAGAAGAAAGAGCATGCATATTCAAAATCTCCAATGGAAAACTTAGCTATGCCATTGAATACAACAGGTCTTCACAAAGAAATGGGAGCAAGCTTATTACTATTCTCAGTGGTTTACATATATTATCTCAGTTAATCCTCACAACATCTCTATTATGTGGTGCCGTTATTTTCTCCACCCTATATCTGAGGAACAGAGGAAGTAAGTAGAGAAGGATTAGAATCCAGGCAGTCTAGCTCCATGGTCTGTCTTTTTTAACCACAAAATCATGCTGCCTCCCATTGTAAATGGCAACTTGACAAATGAGAGGAGCAATGTAAGTTTACCACATTTTTTTGAATTGACAGGAATACAAAGCATAGTCTATGAGGAGCACTGGCTTTCTGCTGAGATAATCAACAAGATGGGCAGCCAGTGAGTAGGTTCATATAATCTAGTTTTACCAGCCCACATTCAGCTGGAGGCTTGGAGTGAATGAATTTTCCAAAGGTGGCTGTTTGTGAGCAAATCAGAAGTAGAATAGGAAAGCAATTCATATAAGTCTCCAGTTTGTATACCAGTGCATGCAGGGGCCTATATATGGCCCAACTGGAGATGTTCATATAATTACTCCTCAGTAATTCTTCTAGCACTATCCACAGCATATTTCTAGTACAGAGAAGTCAGCGAATAATTATTAATTATATATTGAGCAAGAATCTATTACTCCTGGACATTGTTAAAGGCTTAGTTTAACTTCACATTTAGAACAATAGTTCCACGTGGTTTAGCAAAAGGAACAAAGGCTTTGCATTTATTTATTTATTTGTTGGTTTGTTTATTTTTAACATCTTTATTGGAGTATAATTGCTTTACAATGGTGTGTTAGTTTCTGCTGTATAACAAAGTGAATCAGCTATACATATACATATATCCCTATATCTCCTCCCTCTTGCATCTCCCTCCCACCCTCCCTATCCCACCCCTCTAGGTGGTCACAGAGCACCGAGCTGATCTCCCTGTGCTATGCTGCTGCTTCCCATTAGCTATCTATTTTACATTTGGTAGTGTATATATGTCCATGCCACTGTCTCACTTCGTCCCAGCTTACCCTTCCCCCTCCCTGTGTCCTCAAATTCATTCACTACGTCTGGATCTTTATTCCTGTCCTGCACCTAGGTTCTTCAAAACCACTTTTATTTTTAGATTCCATGTATATGTGTTAGCATAGAATATTTGTTTTTCTCTTTCTGACTTAAGGCTTTGCATTTAAATAGGTTTGGGTTAGGGCCTGGCTGTGACACTTCATTTCTGTGTAATATTGAGTAAGTTACTAAATCTTTCTGATTTTCTCATTACTTACCTGTAAAATGCTGATTATAATCCCAGTTTTGTAGTGTCGTTGTGAGGATCAGAGTGTGAAGAGATGAAGTGAGAGTGCCTAGCATAATGCGTGGAACATAGGAGGTACCCACTAATGGTTAGTAACCAACCCCCCTTCACTTACCCCTTTTTAGAAGAATTAGGCTCTGAGGAGGAAATTGAGAACAATGGCCACGCCTTTGCCATTGCAATTAAAAACTAGAATTAATAAAAACATTTCCTATAATACACTTGGAACTTCCAAATGAAACTCAGCATACAACTCTGGGCATTTTTCAAATTGATTTCATCCCTGTGGTAGGCATTGCTGCACAACTTTTTGTACAGTGATACATTTTCCAAATGTTTATTGTTACCTTTGCAGTGCAAATGCTGTAAGGTCATTTTTTCACTTTAAAGAAATGAAGAACCAGATAATTTCCCTTTATTTAGCAGACTTTCAGATACACTGTGTTAGATGGATGAAATATGAGTTTTGGATTTAAATAGACGTAGGTTTAAATCCCAGTTGTGTCACTCACTGGCAGTTTAGTTAACCTCTTGATGCCCTGTTTTCTTCTGTAGATAATCACATTTATCTTACTTATTCAGTTAGATATAAATGCTTAGCATATGTAGCACATATATATATATTTGATCAGTGATAGTTAATATTTTTTATTATTTGGGTATGCCTAATTAGGAGAGAAGATATATCCTCCTATAGTTTTTTGTAAACTACAAAAAGTGTGACTTATTTGTGATTATGCTGGTTTTTCCTTATAGCCATGCACTACTTTGCTGAACCTGTGTATTACTCAAAGAACAAAAAGCTAGACAATATTCCTTTATTCAGTGAACATTTAAAGGAGGTCTGCTATGTGTTAAGTGTAATTGTAAGTCCTAGGATTACAAGGAAAATAAAATAGAGCTTTATCCTGAGAGTTTAGTGTAGGATTGAGACCCACACAGATAATTTTTGTGGAGTGTGGAAGTCGTGATAGAGACCACTACAGGATGCTGCAGAGGTACAGAGGAGGCGTGGTGACTGCTGAATCAGCTTCTGACTCTTCTGATGCAAAGTCTCACCATGAAAAATCTGTCCCCAGTATCTTCACCTGAATTCTGACCTTTTCAAATTTGACAGTGGGTCAGGTAGAACACTAAAGTTGGAATAGAGTTAGGAAGACACTCAGCCAAGTGGGCGGGGGATGTGATGTGTGGTGGGAGCTTGAGTACGTTCTTGCTAAAGAGGGGAAAGTGTATTTTCCCTCCTTTCCCACCTCTGCTTACGTTATTTGTGTTGAAGGCTGAAAAGAATTTAGGGAACACTGAAATAGCTCTCAGTTGAAAAGAAAAAAACCCACTAAAACTTTCAGGGTAGGCAGTG